CCCTCCACCCCCCAAAATAAATAGTCTTCTCTTCGTCAAGATGCTCCAATGGGATATCCTGGGTTCTCCAAAATACTGTTGAAGCTTGGCTTATTATTTAATCCACAAATTTAGTATTTTTAGATCTTCATGTCCTCTATTTGGAAGTCATAAGCTGACTACCAGGTGCTTGCTGAAGTCCCTCACACATGTGCATGTAAAAATTGCAGGTAGGGAGGAAATCCTCCTTAGGTTGTGAACTGAGATTCTCTCTCATATTTAACTNCCCCGTTTGTCTTTTCTTGGTCAGATGCAATTGGAAAGGATTTTTCAGCTTTTGCTTAATATGTGTACATTTGGATCGAAGGTTAAAGCTGACACTTCTAGTCCAGTTGCTGAGCCAGTTGCAGCCTAAGTACCAAGGGGCCACTGTGATGGATGCATAATTTATATGATTTTGCAGCAGTTTCCAATTGGCGTTTGATGGCTCGATTTTAACATGTGCACTAGTCTAGAAAGAAGTTTCTTGTTCAACCTTTCTACAAGAGCACACATACATCAGTTGCCTAAATGAGTGGCCGAGAAATTCAATTTTGTTTTCTAGTCAGTTAGCATTTAAGGTTGTGGTATATATAGGTTGCATTTGGAAATAAGCAGCAATATACGATGAGTGATTTTTGTCTGGACATTGACGTTGTATAACTTTTAAGTTACAATTATTTGCTTATGCTAGAGCAACGAAATGGAATGTGGTATTTGTCTTGGCATTTTTTAACCTATAAGTTACTGTAATCTATTATGCGCTGCGCAAATATGCTTCATATACTGATCGCTATCTTTACAAGTTTTAAGCGAGTCGTACGCGCAGATCACTATCAATTTCGTGTTTACTATCATGTTTGTCCGTCGTAGGTATTCTCAAGCTTGGCAGGCATAAATTCTTAACCCGTCAAGGCAAGTAACGTCTCACTTCACAAGCAAGGAACAATACAGAATGTGTCCTTTGATATTGGTTAATACAAAGTCTGGTTTTCAGGATTCAGTATCTATATTGAAATTGTAATATGCATGCATAGATAAATGTTCCATGTAAAAACAATGAGTTTAGTTGATTACAACAAATGAACCACATTAATGCTTACAACAAAGATTCTTCCTTAGTAAATCATAATATTGATGTGTCAAAAATTAAATACTCTTTTATTACGATTATATCAAATATTTTAAGGGTGATCCAACTGGTGTGACCCAACTTTGGCCTCACCAGTGAAAAAGTCATCCAAGACCCCCTAACTAATTAGCCTACATTTCCCTCCAAAACACAAAATTAAATTCCAAGCCTTGAAATATGCGAAAATTAAATGTTAGGAGCTGAAGAGTCTTGTGTATTATATTTGTATTTCCATTGTATTTATGTGTATTTTATGTTTATACAAATTATACAATTTAGTGTGCATACAAATTATTGTATTTCTTCTTTTCTTAAAAACTAATACGGTATACGATTTATTGTACTTCCTTCATATCAAACCAAGTCAAGTGGAGACTTTACCCTGTCTTAAAAAAAAGGATTCAAACCAAGAAATTTCGGTGGTACAAGAAAATATGAATCCATATCTACTTATTATTTATAATTAAATTGCTATTGTTGTTGTTGTTGTTGTTGTTGTTGTTGTTGTTGTTGTTGTTGTTGTTGTATCTACTTATTATTTATCTTTCATAATTAAATTGCTAATTATATCCCAAACTATAACGATTGGTGTCAATTGACTAGTGGAGCTATAGTAAACGTAATTATATGGTCACTACCAATATACGCATGACCTTATGTGATGACCCAAAAGGTCATCACTGATTTGCGAATAAATTTTGTGTTCTGAGGCCTTAGAAGCCTCCTTTTTCCTCGCCTCGATTTGCGTGCACGGTCGGAACGTATATCCGGAATGCTTTTGTGTGAAATGTGATGAAAATATTAATTTGGCCTTTAAAATTGAATTTAAGTTGACTTCGGTCAACATTTTGGGTAAACGGACCCGGACCTGTGATTTGACGGTCCTAGAGGGTCCGTAGGAAAATATGGGACTTGGGCCTATGCCCTAAATTGAATTCCGAAGTCCCAAGCCCGAGAAATGAATTTTTGAAAGAAATTATTTTACTGAAAATATAAGAGTTTTTGGAAATTTGATTATATTTGAAATTTATGGTATCGGACCCGTATTTTTGTTCCGGAGCCCGGTACAGGTTCAATATGACATTTAAGATGCGTCTGTGAAATTTGGAAAGAAACGGAAGTCGTTTGATGTGATTTGGACCCGTAGTTGTGAAATTTGATACTTTGAGAGTTTTAAGATTTTTCTTAGATTTCTATGTTAAATTCGTTGTTTAACATGTTATCTTGGCGATTGGATCGCACGGATAAGTTTATATGATGTTTTTGAGTTAGTATGCATATTTGGTTTGGAGCCCCGAGGGCTCGGGTGAGTTTCGGATAGGTTTTGGAAAGTTTTTAAACTTAGAAAAGTTGCATGTTTTCAGTTTCTAGTGTTCTGGAGTTTTGTTCATCGCGTTTGCGGAAGGACTCTCGCGAACGCGAAGGGTAAGTCAGGCTGAAGGAATTTTCCTTCTACGCGAACGCGAGAAATAGGTCACGAACGTGAAGCTTTGGGGGTGCTTCCCTTTGCGAACGCGGACCTGCTACCGCGAAAACGAAGGCCTTTGGGCCTGGGCAGGGGGAAATGGATTTTACTCTACGCGAACGCGGCCACCTGACCGCGAACACAAAGGCTCGAGGAGCTGAAACTCCGCGAACGCGAGCCCTTGAACGCGAACACAATGGCCATCTAGGCCTGACCCATCGCGAACGCGACAGGCCTATCGCGAACGCGATGAATGCCTGCCCAGTTATTTTAAAACAGAACCAGAATCGGGCAGAACCTATTTTACTCCATATTTCGAACTTCCAAGGCCTAGACGAGATTTTTTTCCCACAAATTCATCCCCAAAGTGTTGGTAATCAATTCTAAACTTTACTCTTTCAATTACCCATGTTTTTCATCACTTTCTAATCAAAAATCAAGAGTTTTCATGGTAGAAATTAGGAATTTGGGTAGAGTTAGGGCTTTTTGAATATTTGGGATTTAGACCTCGTTTTGGGGTCGGATTTCGAAACTAATTGTATACTCGGGCTCGTGGGTGAATGGGTGATCGGATTTTCGTCCGAACCTCGAGTTTTGACCAAGCGAACCTGGGGTCGATTTTTGACTTTTTGGAAAAAATGATAGAAAACCTATAATTAAGCATTGGGTATGAATTCTTTAGCATTTATTGATGTTGTTAAATCAATTTGGACTAGATACGAGTTATTTGGAGGCGAATTGTAAAGGAAAAGCGGTGTTTGAGGCTTAAGTTGGTCGTGGAAGTTTGAGATAAGTGTTTAGTCTAACCTTAGCTTGAGGGATTAGGAGTTGTGTCTTATTTGCTATGTGCTAATTGTAGAGTACGACGTATCGGCATGGTGACAAGTATCTATACGTCAGTGTCAAGCATGCGCGTGAGTCTATACGTCGGTGTCAAGCATGCCCGTGACTCCGTTGTGGTTTATTGTGCTTCACATGAGGATTATCATTATTGTTCCCTTGTTGGGATATTGTAGTCATTATTGTTCTCTTGCCGTGATGTTATTGTGATATTATTGTTCCCTTGCCGGGATGTTATTGTCATATTATTGTTCTCTTGTCGGGATGTTGTTGTTATATTATTGTTCCCTTGTCGGGATGTTGTTGTTACATCATTGTTCCCTTGCCGGGATTCTTTTATGATTGGTGTTGATAAATGAAAAGGGAGCGGGTTGCACGCCTGCAACGGTACTATATGAAATGAGAGAGGGTTGCACGCCTGCAACGGTACTATATGAAATGGGAGCGGGTTGCACGCCTGCAACGGCACTACATGAAATGGGAGCGGATTGCATGCCTGCAACGATATTATATGAAATGGGATCGGGTTGCATGCCTGCAACGGTATTACATGTGTACTTGTTTCTTATTTTCTTATTTTTTTGCTGGTATTTGATTTATGGTGTTCCTTATATTTCTCTACTGTTATTCTATTCTTACCTGTTACTCCCCGCAACATGTTTCCCCCACCCAACTTTAGTTGTAATTATCTGCTTCTATTTCCGCTGTATATAGTTTAACTGCACAAGTTTATTTGGTAGTGTGGTCCTAGCCTCGTCACTACTTCGCCGAGGTTTGGCTAGGCACTTACCAGCATATAGGGGTGTTCATGGTTCGGTTTGGATCGGTTTTTCCCTAAAAAGAAACCAAACCAATTAAGTCGGTTTTTCAAATATTAGAACCAAACCAAACCAATTAAGTCGATTTTTTCTCGATTCGGTTTATGTCGGTTTTTCGATTTTTTCGGTTATTTGTCGGTTTTTTCTTAAATATAAGACATACACTACCAAACATATATTTCGACGACCACATTTTCAACGTAACACTATCAAATCAATTGTCCTTTGAGAAATCTATTATTTACCAAGATATATTGATGATAATTGAATCAAATAGTGATGAATAATTTAAGGACTTAATTAAAAATATATTATTTTTAACATGAAATAGATTCTTACACTTAACAAAAGAAAACTATCAATCAAACTAGAATGTAAAGGTAAAAAACTGTACTAAAAGTGCAAACGATTAACATTTACTACAAAATTTTTGAAACTTTGTATAAAAGTATACATATATATACGTGTAATAATAAATCTAAAATAGCAACTCCTATATTCGGTTTGGTTCGGTGTGAGCACGTGATTTTTGCCCTATGAGAACTACTCCCAAAAATTAAAAAATAGAATGGTTTTGTGTTGTCTGTGATTTATTTGTATTTTTGTTTGTGCATGTTTATTTTTACTTTAATTAAGAAAAATACAAAAATACGTGTTGCATGAACATTTAGGATTTAATTTTACAATTTAGGAATTAATTAAACAATCAAGTTTGTTTTACAAAAT